AACTTTATAACAAGCAAATAAGGCGATATATAAGACATGTTTAAGAGTAGAATATATCGTGGATTTTTTTTCACACAAATATGTGTAAAGACTCTGCGATATCGAGGAACTTAAATGGCCTGCTGTAGTCTAATTATCCAGCAACTGATACGAGATTCACTTCAGAATTCTTTGTGTGTCTCCTTCTAAGGTACATCGACGAAAAGACATTTTATTGTTTGTCCTATTTGAAAAACAGAAAGGGCCTGGATCTGCTTTTCTCACGTATAAATGTACGTGTATATACCTTTTTCGTTTGCCGTGTGTGCCTAGCGACTCTTTTGAGCCAATTGTTAGGATGTTGTGATCTGCTGAGGTGTTTCCAATGTTTAGACCTTTAATTACGGTTACATGCAAAAAGTCCATATATGCCTATCACCACACGACCGCTCCGAGACCCTACACAGACATTGGACCCTACCACTTTTTATCTTAAATTTGAGTCACAGCTGATGGAACATGACATATGGAATTGTCGTTTTAATATCTTTTACAATTTTATAAAATTTATTTTGTATTTAACGATTAAATTTGATTTACAGCTATTTATTTTTTATTCGACTGCTATTTTTCTTAGTACATAGTAATATATTTAGATATTTAAGAGGTGCAAAAGTGAAGAGGGAGATCTTTCGATACCAACAAAAGCTTTCGATACCAACAAAAGAAGAGGACAAAATGGGAACACAACGTCGAGGCATATGGCAGGTACAGCTACCGAATTGCCGACGTCAAAATGAACGAAAAGTAAATATTAGAAAAAAATATGCACTTATGCAAAAACAATATATAAATGTTTTCTTTACTTTTGATTTTGATCTCACGAACGCACACAAAGTAGGACAATACGAAGCTTTGGGTGAACTAGACATGGTACAGACAGTCTGAACAAATAATATCTCATGTTTTGTCCCGACAATGTCTTGCTTGAAATGTGCCAGACATTTTATCCATGTGACATGCGCGGTATCGTCACCATATGTCACAATTAGATAAGCACAAGGACAGACAGAATGAAATGGAGCACATAGGTTGCATCTGTCTGTCTGCAAAGGTACATATGTAATATCAATAACAGTACTGTTATTTCTTTGTCTGTCTATGCATCTGTTATCTTCGATACTCAAGGGTTTACGCCCACTTAAGTTCTCTGCACCCATGGAATATGCTACGACGAAATCGAAGGTTATACGCGCCATCTTGTGGAAGATAAAAGTAGTCTAGTTTAATCCTTTGATGTACATCAAAATAATGGCACGATTAACAGACTTTCAAGTCGGGTGTCGCTCTACTGTTATTTTCAAAAGGCGTGTATCAAACTAGCGATTGGTCAGTTGCTTTTTTACCTGAAACAATCAGATATCTAGCCCCATGCCTTCGATGTTGTCCTGACAGATTCCAAGGGTGCACCAAACGGAAGGGAGCATAACCCCTGTAATTCGTATTGTATGAAGTTTGACTTAAGAATTACTCCGTTTAGATCGAAGTTTCGCTTTACTTCGGATACCTTAGTTTGAACATTTGCTGCCTTTAGGTAGTATTGTGATTTACTTAATTCATATTTCGTAACTTTTTGCGTTTACGGTATGAACTCCCTTTTGTCAACAATTTGAATTAGCCAAATAAACAAATATAATTTGAAAACAGTACTTACCTTAGATGATAAACATTTTTTGCTTTACTCTTGCTCTGCGAAATGTTGATCTTACGATGAGATCACTGTTTTCATTGATGTCATACGTGGGAACATTTATCTTTTCAGATCAAAATTTGTTTGCCTCAACATTTACTTGTTTATTTTGAATTAGGGTATTTATCATTTAACATTTATTTATTTACATTTTTGTTCTATGATTTTGCCGTGGTGTCCCCCTCGTTCTTATTGGTGCTATTAACTTTTTATTTTCCTTTATATTTTTTCATTGTTTTAAATAGTTGACCTGCATTTGTCAGGTACAAATAACGATTAACTTATACACTGCCATCAATAAATAACTATATAACCATTAACTAATTGTATTGTACTATATTTAACACTGTGTGATGATAATAAATGCATTTTAGTGTATTTCTACAAAGAAAATACATGTAACTGTTGCAGTAAGGTCACATTATAAAGCTATAATTTTTTGCAAAATAATTTTATATGAGCAAATAACAAAACTCTTCTGAAACGCAAAAACATTTTTCTGTTTTTAAAAAAGTTGGTTAGCCAAAGGGTGTACTAAGGATTTAAATAATGTTGAATATCAAATATCCATCTTTGGACATCATTGGAAGGCTTTAGTTGGAAGACATGACTCTACATTGTACACCTTCGCCAAGGAATTCCAGTTACCGAAGGAGACCAGCTACTGGGCTGTCCATGGTGCCCGCAAATGAATACACCTACCTCTTAATATTAATGGTACTTAAAATGTAAAATAGTTTTGTATTTCACATTCTTTGAAACCTAAGTACATCTTTTGTCTTACCTTCTTTTCAAAAGCAGATTAATGTTTTCACGTTTCGGAAGGGTTTGTTGATAAAAACAATACTGGTTAATATAGTCATATGCTAATATTTTGCAGTTGCTTTGTAATATATTCCAAAGATGATATACAACTGTTAATATAATAAAACATTGACAAATTCTTTATCTGTTCATTACTTTATTTTATTTATGACATTAAGCTGTATATTTTACAGCAACAACGGAAAATTCTCCAGAATCTGGAAAAAAGTACTTGTATAGTTATCTATGCAGTGCATTTTAAACGTTTTAATCACTATTTTGATATCAAAATCATCACCAAAGTGCCGACACTAAGATGAACGGAAAGTGAATTTTAGAAAAATACATACATTTATGCAACAAATAGAAATATAAATATTTTCTTAACTTTTGATTTTGATCTCATCAACGCATAGATAGTAGGGCATGACGTTGCTTTTTAGCGAAATAGAGATGGTCAGTCATGACAGTCTATTCACGTGACATGCGCGGTATCGTCACCATGTCAAGAATGAGATACCATTAGATGAAAACAAGGACAGACAGAACTAAATAGAGCACGTTTTATCGATTTTATCTGTCTACAAAGTTAATACCAATTCCAGTATTGTTGTTTCATTATCCGTTTATACATGGATTATTGATCTTCGTGTTACGCACTGAAGCTTGACTTATGAAATACCCCGTTTATATTGAAGTTCAATTATATTGCAATCACTACACCCTTTAAGTAACAACATAATTTTAGTTTCTTTAAAAAAAACTGACTTCTCTAAACTGCGTTAGAGCTACAAACGTTGTTTTTTTGTAAGAAATTGAATTAACAGTACAAACTAAAATGTTGTAAATATTGTACTGACCTAAGGTGGTATTTTGTTTACTATTTCTCTTCGGAGCGTTGAGGGAGTTAACAATGGTAGTTAGTAATGGTTCCTGACGGTTGTCGTACCCATTTCACGTCAAATAGGTTTGCTTCCATTTAAACTTATTTATTTTTATTTTCGTGTGTTCATTATTCTATTTATTTCATTTTTAGCTACTTTTCATTTGTAAAGCCTCTTTGATGTTGAACCTGCGTCATATTATACAACTAAAACGTATACTCATGAGAATTACAATACGTTAAAATGGATGAAATATTCCTTTAAATAGCTATAGCCAGTAAATTGTTAATGAGCTTATATTAAATCACCTCAAGAGATAACAATAAAGAGTTGAATGTTATGCCAAAGAAAAAACAACATTAAGCTTAAACAAAATCAGAACAACACCAACAACAATAAAAGAAACGAAATGACCGTCAATCCTTAAAGACACAATACCACACACAAAACTAGGTGTTTGAGGGAGGCAAGTGTTTTAGCACCACATGTGCCTCCCGCCAACCTGTCAAAAGTAGAAACATTTTTTTTTTTTTTTTTTTATAATCTATTTATATTTTACATTCCGATTTGATCTACTGTACGTATTCATGTGGTGTATGATTAAATATATCTGATGTGTATATATCTCGTGCGAGCAAACACATATATATGTGTCCATATATATCTAAATGTTATCATTGTGCATTCTAGTCTTTTTCTAGTTTAAATATTAATAAAATGTCATCAGTTCAAACTTTACGTTAAGCTAGAAAGTCTCTATTTTGTATTGTATGCATTCCCTGGAATGTTTTCCTAAATCTAGTTAATCGAACTTTTAAGGTAGCCAAACCTTATCGAAATTCTTCCCAGAAATGTTACTGAAAAGAAAAACCATAACTGGTAGCACGATAGGTGACCTCTCACCTTTATAATAAAGTCTGATGATGTTAGAATCCATGTATCAGATATTGTTTTGTTAAAAGGGAAATAAGTGTAATTAATAATACTATTTAACTCTCTTATAGTAAATGGGCACACAACTTCGGGTAAAAAAATGCGGAACAAAGTAGAACTCCCCTTCGTTGAAGATACAACACAGAGCGATAGGACTTTCTACCTTAAGTGGTCGTTAAGCTTACAGAGCTTTAATCATTGAACGAGTGTACACTTATTATAAGCGATTACGTGGTATACCATTGACAGGGTGACAATCCACGCTGATGTGATGAACGTGAAATTGTCTATATCCTGCTTTATACTTTAATACACATGAATATTATAAAGTATATATCAAGTTGAATAGCTACACGGACTATTTCCTGTGAGTCAAGTATCTAACTATCACTTCTTAGTAATGTATCATATTGTATAATGTCATATAATGCTATCTCAAAAATACTATTTATAGAACAATAATGTTTACACATATACTGTACATACTTTATTTACCTTAACAGATGTATCGATGCATCGTTGTAAGTGTGTTATGATAACTGATACCAGGTGTTCTACATGTGTAAGTAATCTTATAAAAATCACATGTAATCAGCCTTTCCACATGATTCGATTTTATCTGTTGTTGCCGTGTCAAGTCAGTCACTCACGTGCGACATATCACATGATTCAGCCATTATCTGGGAATAGGTCAATGTGGACACTCGTGTGACTTGTATATATAAAGATCAATTACCATCACACAAGTTAGTTTGTAATTCAGCAGAGCATCGCCATGTCCAACCGTGTTGTCGTAGACGATGATGATGATGAAAGAAGTTCTTTGCTCTCCAGAGTCAACCGTCAAGGATCTGTGAATATAGTGTTCAAAGATGGTCCGAGAGAAAGAAGTGGATCTTCATCAGAGAGCAGACCGCTTATTTCACCGACAGTTAGGAATATCATAATAGCCGTCCTGAATGTCATAACAAACGTCATGATGAACGTATCCCTCCCTATCTATGCTGGCACAATGGACGAAGTTGGAGGAGATGCATTTGTTCTGCTCATGAACACAAGTTTCACAGTATCAATTTTATTTGCGATAATGACACTCATTGTCAAATATACCAAGCTCGACCCAAAAGCTAGTCTGCGACCAAAGTCATCGTGGAAGGTTCTGATTGCCATGGGACTGTTCACAACGCTTAATGGTATCCTGGTTGTGAATGCTAGTCCCCCGAACAGAACACCTCCCTATCTGCAAGGAATATTGGCATCTACTGTGATACCGTATACGGTTCTGTGTCGTCTCATCATCCTTAGGAAAGGTAAAACAACTATCATAGACATTGTTTTATGTTGATATATATGCAGGTCTGGCATAAAAAACGCTCTTAATTGAAATGCTTAAGCAGTAAGTTGGCAACGAGTCTCAAAGCTAATCAAGCAATTCCCCTCTAACCTTTTGAAAATAATATCAGTAAAGGGTTATGCGCACCTCCCCTTCTGTTTCAACAGCAATTTAGACCAGTATTGAAGTTTACCTTTTGGCCCCTTGCATCATCGATGCGTCCTAGAATGAGAAAACAGTGTAATTCACTCTTTGCATGCTGTATCCAATACAAAATCATAAATGTGCGCATCTTGTGTTCAGCTTCTCGATCTCATACAAAAATGAAATTCATTTTTTTAATTCAGCATCTTGAATAAGTGTGTCGTGTCTGCTTATTCACCACAGAGAACGGCTTTCTTCGGGGAGGGTCAGTAATGTCAATCTTTGCAATTATACTGTCGTGGTAAAAATAATAATTCCAAAATTTTATCATGACCTTCATAGATGATATGAATGCCATTTTAAGGGGGGGTGGGGTGGGGGNTAATAAATATATAAAGATGGCAGGCGTTATACTTAAGAAATGGGTTTGTCTTTTTTTATTGTCGCCATTTCAATGTTTGGTGCCGTACTGCCGTACAAACTTATTGGTATGTATATTATTTTTCAAACTATCATGTTTCATTAAGGCGCCTATCGTTCCGATTTATTAATGAAAATAACCTTTCCAATATCCATGTTCTAGGTATAAGCACTGTAAGAGCATTGTGCACCTGTGTGGTCCTGGCCGGTCTTTTCATTACAACAGAGCCCCAGACATTCGGACTAGATGGCTCCGGTAATGGGGACTCGGGCCCTACCCCTTCCGTCTTACAAAGAATCATCTGGCCATTGTGTTTTGCCCTTGGATTTCTACCTATTGGGTTGAGTAACGTGTTTTGCGAAAAGGAATTAAAGAAAGATGAGGTAAGGAAACACGATACTTTGTTTCTCTGAAGTTAATAATATGTCATCGTTATTCTGTACTGCAAGGGCAATAAGTATGTTTTATGCGAGTAGATTCATGCAAGAAAGTGTCCATGCATTTAGATTCATATGTTTATTCTTCACAGAAAGTAGAGGAATTACTTGGAACATTAATCAACTAATTTCTGGTTAGCCAATGGCATAGATGTCAATAGTTAGAACACGGGTGTTTTGAGTGAAGCAATCGGCTGACCTCAAAGAGAAAGCTAGGGCAAGGCCAGGTAAGCAATAAACTCATAGCTAAAGAGATCTGACAACAGGCAGACAACAAGACAACAGGAGACTTACAGTAAATACCAAAAATAAATTAATAAGCGACACCTATTACCAATGGAAAGCCAACAATCAAAAACAAAAAGTGCATGCTAACAATATACAGACAACAAGGGATGACTAAGGATAGAAAAACACCTTAGGAAATCTAACTTCAGATTGACAAGTAAAGGCTAATAAACCCGGACATCATGGGAAGGTTAAATGTAGGCTGACACAACGGAAGGTTCTATACACGTACATGTATGGCTAAGAATAGGAAAACACCTAAAGCTAACTTCAGTTTGACAAGTAAAGACCAATAAACCCGGACATCATGGGAAGGTTAAATGTAGGCTGATACAACGGAAGGTTCTATATATGTATGGATAAGAATAGAAAAAACACCTAAAGCTAACTTCAGAAAGGTTCTATAAATGTATAGAGACACACTAATTACAAGGGACTACTTGAGCAATACACAACCGAAATAGACAGTTACTGATAAGCTTATGGTAACAAAAGATTAACCAGGAAAACTTACAAAAGACAAACATGAGGCAAAGTTAACAATAAATCAACAAAAAGGGAAGGCTTAAAACACACAGACATCTAGGAAAGCTTAACCATGGAATGACATAAAAACGTGTATCAATAGCTAAAGAGGAAGATATAAATACCGCGAATATTGAAATGGAGACGAAAATATAACGAATATTACAAAGCGATCGTAATTATCAAAATAATCGAAAAGAGTTCTTAAAGACAGCAGATTAATAGATAAAGTATTAGAAGTGAGGTTAAGTAGATGAAATGATTTACATGAAGATACCACAGTTCTAATAGCTCCTACCGCTGAAGCAAGACTTATTTGTTTTGACAAACACCTTATTTTGTTTACTTTTAGTGTGAGTCGCTTGGTTTTATCACATGGACAAACGTATTCCAGTTCGTTACCCTGCTATTTTTCTTCTGGACCGATTTTGTGCCAGGATTTGGAATGGTAAGATATGTTTTAACCTATTTCTTAGACTTGAAAAGAAAAGAGCACATCTTGTACGAAGAAAACATTTTCATTTATTTATGAGAATCAAGTGATGCACTAAATTTAGTGCTGTAAAAAATAATGATTTTGTTATTATATTATTAGCCGAGAACGGTACCGTACTTGTTGCTGTTTTTTTAGTGATAGGATATGTACACATGCTTATTCAAATAATCTACATTCATGCTATCAAATTCCATATCTTACAGTATGGGCAATGTTAGTTTCCTTATTTCTCCGGGACATTTTATATCTATTTTCTCTCGTCATTAGCCCTTAGCATTTGCAGTAAAACTTTGGTATACTGTCATGACTCTGCCACAATTTCTCCAAAGAAATGTTGGCATGTTAAAGGGTTTGGCGACAAATCAGGGAAAAATTAACAGAAATTATAATGAAAAAGAAAATGTGATCTGGAATAAAAATATGAATACAAAAAATGTATACCCAGATTATACTGTAGAGTTAGGACTTAATATGATCACAGCAAGAAAACACAAGAATTTTCATACATGCAATAGCCTCCCTTTAATTTCTCATTTTTATTTTTATTACATGTATTATCATGTCAGTAAACAGTTTCCAAGTTTAACCAGTTGACAGAGGAGACTCATCTTGACTTAGAATTGAAGTTCCTTCTATGTCTTTTTCAGTCCAGTTCGGCTTCAGAATTTTTCACGAAATTCGGGAAAGGGTTTTCCTGCCTTTTTAGTTCAGCCACTTCCTGTCGTGGCCTAGCGGGGAAGGCCTGGCTCTTTAACGTAGGGTACGTGTTTGGGAACCTGTTTCAGTTCTTACTGATACAGTACGCGGAGGGGTCAGTCTTCGCGGTCATCATACAGGCAATGGTCACTCCCATAGCAACCATTTTCTGGACACTCTTCTCGTACGATCAGAAAGCTGACATTTTCAAATGGAACCCAGTTATGAATACCACTACAGGGTTCACACTGTCTGGTCTGGCAGTTATCGTACCGGGGGTATTACTCTACAACTACTTCAGCAGAAAGGAAGCGCAGGCCGCAGCGCGAAGCACAGATATTTCTATTAACGTTGTCAATTAAATCAAATTAAGTCTTAAGTGAACTTCACAAATCCAAATCCTCGACATGCAACGCTGAATCACGCTTTTAAGAAAGTGTCGTTGCAAATTGTTGTAATAAAACAAACCGGGCACAGGAGATTGAAGGTGTTTCAATATGGTCGGAATTCTCGACTGTCGAACTGTTCGCGTTGTGACTATAGACTGATCGTACAGGTATACAATCATTTTGCTTTCATAGATTGATATATGGGCACACGTATAGAGGCTACAAAGAGCATTCGCGCTAACTTTTGTTCAAAAAGCGCATCAACCCTGGCATTCCTCTAAAGTATGTCACGGAAATGAATTATAATTTGAACTTTTAAAAATACAGATTAAACAATAACAACACAATGAACATGGATAGAAATGTATTTTGAGTCAGAGTAACGATTTGACGTAATCATTTTTGTTGGTTGTAAAAATGCTTATTGGAAACTTGCTTGTCTAGATAATGACGCGTATGATACTACATTAAATGATAAACATCATTTGATATAGCACCATATCTAGCTAAAATAGGTCACTCTAAAGCGCTTTACAGTACATAGATATTCAATTAGCATACACATTAATCAATTCAATTTTTTGAGGAATTCTCAGGACCCTTGTGTTTGAGTGTAATCGATCCCATTCAATCCAATATTCATTTAACGCGTAATTGCATAACCGGTGTGGATTATTCATTTTTGTGTATCATTACGATTGTTAATTTAAGTTTCTGGGTGTTATTTCTGTCAAAATAATTCACGTCAAAATTTGACAATAATGTCAATAGTTCCGTGTGTATAAACTGTACTGTACTTTTGTATTCGTTGTTGTATGAGAGAAATAAAAATCAACGAGGTGTGTGTGTGTGTATCATACTAGAATAGATAATGAGGGTGAAATAATGTTAAAAAATATTTAAGGAAGGTTTTGAATGTGAAGCTGGGAGATGGATACATGGTTTGTTTATAGGTGTGAAATGTGTGTAGCTGTGCTACAGGCCGATTGTTTGTTTTGTTATTATCCTGAGATAGTATTTGCAACTCGAATGTGAATAAAAAGAAAATTTAAACATTTATTTTTTTTATTAATATTTACAACAGTTTTTACAACTTATATTAATCACTCTTGTTGACCCAGATGTTAGCGCGGGGGGGCAGGGGGGGTCTTAATGTGGGAGGAAACCGGAGAACCCGGAGAAAACCCCAGTGTTCGGGCAGGTGACCCAATACCTTTTCACGCCTGATCGGGGAATCGAAACCCGGCCGCCTTGGTGAAAGGCAATTGCGCTACCTGCTGCGCCACCCGACCAAACCAACCATTATTTGTTATTGCTGTTTTAACTTAATAGTAACATTGATATATTAACTGTGGTTGGTTCGTTCCTTTTCGTCGCGTCTTTTCGCCCCGGAAAGACGAGATTTAGTAACTTTTATTTCTCTTTTGTTTCGTCATTCCGTGGCAAAAGACGATAGGACGAGAATGAAGTTAACTTCACTTCCGATTTCATTTGCTTCGTCATGAAATAGATGAACACAACTCCACCATCGGAGAAGTTATGGAAACCATTAAGTTTCTAATGTCCGATTGCTTTCATTATTTTAATATTTTAATCCGTTCTTCTATCTATAGAATTAAGGAACGATACTGAACCCTTCCGTACAACAAACGCACAGGAATGGCAGGTGTCCGTGAATACAATAACAACATTATTTTGATGACCTCTGTCGAGGCTAGCGTTAAGTAGCGTTTATTTTGATGACCTATGTCGAGGCTAGCGTTAAGTAGCGTTAATTTTGATGGCCTATGTCGAGGCTAGCGTTAAGTAGCGTTAATTTTGATGAACTATGTCGAGGCTAGCGTTAATTTTGATGACCTATGTCGAGGCTAGCGTTAAGTAGCGTTAATTTTGATGACCTATGTCGAGGCTAGCGTTAAGAAGCGTTAATTTTGATGACCTATGTCGAGGCTAGCGTTAAGTGCACCTAGGACAGAAATTGCTGAATAATATGGGTGTATCCCAAATGGAACCGTATCCAAAAGGGAACATTATTTTCATGAAGCAGTAGATTATTTTTCTGTCTTCAGATTTCTTCTCGATAACATTCCCCGAAAAGTCACAGATTTGAACATTTTAATTATCAACATTTAAGATATCTTTCAACTTGAAACTTAGCGTTTTAGAAAACTCCTACTAATAACTTGTTACAGTGAGCCCAATTAATTAGAAGGCAAGTTAAAAGGAGTAAAAACCGCCCACATAACTAAAATGATAAATCCACATGAATAAATAGGTATTTTAGATATGAATCAACTTTGATTTTTATCGGACAATAATAGAAAGTAAACATGTGTGTCTTTCTGTATGAATGTTTGCTTTGTCATGTCTACCTGTTATGCCTTTGATACCTGGGGGGAAATCTATTGCTGTAACAATGCATTGTTGACAATACCCCAGCTGTTATACCCTAGTGTATTGATTAGTGATTGTATTCATTTTGAACAAAGACTCTTTAAGTCGGTGTTGTTGTTTTCACTGTTGACCATCGCATTATGGTTATATGGTAATTATCTTTATTACATATGTAAAGGAACTGGCCCTAGACTTGCTTGAATGTGTAACGTGCGGGCGATCACTCATACTGACAACGTTCGACGTTGCTAAACTAGTGAGCAGGTCCTCGGGTTATACCGCATTACCGAAAAAGCTTGCTTGCCAATAAGGCAGTATTTTCCCCTTATATTAGCTATTATAATAGCAGGAAACCTGCAAATAGCTCATTGGGTTAGAGTATTCGTCTAGGGTTCGGAGGATCCTGGGTTCGAATTCTGGTCTGGCTATGCATTTTGTTTGTGTACTGTTACAAATTTGGCACCCAACTAAATATACCCACTGAGGGTGGTATAGGGTATCGTGTGTCTTCGGGGTCGAAGACTTTGGAAGGGAGGAATGTCGCCGAACTGAACAGGATTGATCGCCCGCGTCCGGGTAGCTCAATTGGTTAGAGTATATGTAAAAGAATTTGAGAGGTCTCGGGTTCGAATCTGTCTTTTTATGCTAGGGTCATGTGATATCATTATTCTTTCCACAACATCTTTTTTTTTTGCCTGGGATTTGCAGTATAACATTATGTTTTTACTACTGCAAATTATTAACCTTTACTGGCAATAAAGAGTGAGGCCAGTAAAACAAGTAGATACACTATAATTGTGATAATACCAAATGTAATACAAGTTTCAAGATACAGAAGGATTATTCCCTTTCTGATTTATATCAGCTAAAACGATATAAAGAAACAAAATTTTAGGTCATTCTGTGCATTTTTATAAAACATTCTTGGTCATTTAAACTGCTGTAGATTGCTTACATCTGCATTGAGCTTTCATATTGCCAAATAGAATTTCAGGTTCTCTTGATATAGACTTCCAAGGTATGGGTAACTAATTGATGCAGATTCTTTTTGGGTCAATGTGAGCTTTGGTATACAATTTGAAAACAAATTATAAAACATAATGTTAATAATTTCTGCTCTGTTAAATATTTGCATTGCAGGTGAAATACAGCAAATTAAGATACGAGTGTTGTTCTGGTTGTAGTATCATACAAAGACACATCCGTATTAACTTCAACTGCCAAGATGAAAAGGGTTAAAGGTCGAAGGCGAGTGTGGCCATGAAGACGGTCGATTCTTACGATTCGGGATCAGGAGCAGTTATCAAATCTAGAGTTGTGTATAAAGACATGTACATTGACCTTTTTGCCTGGTAGTCAACAGGACTATATTAATTATTGAATATTTATATCCTATTCCTACACCAAAGTAGCTTGTCCAAGATTTCCTTAAGGAAATATACCCGGCAAAACTATTTTATGTTAGGAGCATAAACTAACTACTGCCATAAAGATATAAATAATTAAATTCAGGAAATTGTGACATTATTGTCATGCAACATATCTGTTTCTCTCATTTCCGTGTATTTAGGATAGAACTGTCCAGGGTAAGAAATGGTTGTTAGAATTTTCTAATTTACACCCTATTTCACGTGACGTCACGTCACAATGGCTCAACAATGACGTGACCTCACGATTTTGGAAAACTCTGATGCCGCAATGCGGAAAAGGCAAAGGGATAAAATTAAATCTTTTTCTGATATTTTAACCGTACACGTTAGAAAGCGGCAGATGAGATTTTTTTCTGCGCAAACTCTGCTTCGGGTTTTACCAAATTTGAAAACCCATCAGGTAGAATTTCTCGATCGTACACCCTTTGTTATGAAAGAGTCTTATAATCTTTTTCTGTTTTCCAAAAGGAATATCCATATGTTATTATCTACATGTACTATATATTTATCAAATGTTATTGTAACAACACTTCTTTGAGATTAACAAGTCCAAAGGACCAGTTAAGCTAGGTGACTTAGTAGTCCTTGCTGAAATGTAATGCTAAGTGTTAGTCGAGTACCCGACATGAATAAATTGCTTAAAAAGGCTTCTAAGGATAATGAATAGGTCACGGAAAAATATGCAGGCAGGAAATGTAACGACAAAGGGAAAGATACATGGAACATTAAATTTACTTTGAAATCGTAATATGGTAAAAAGTATACATGTATCTATATAAACACCATTGTACATTCCTAAATTCTTAAAATAAATAACACAATCCTAAGAGATTATTTGGCTCGTAGCTTTAATATAGGGGTACAGGGTTGTTCCAATTAAACTTTTTAAAAATAAACCCGATTTGACGATCATGGTATAATATTGGTGTGAAGTTGCCCCTTTATCACCTAATTGTTCTATTTTCATGGGATCATGGATATGGTGAAAGCAGGGAGTGCCTTTACCCTAGAGATCAGCCGAATTGAACAGGCCACCGATGCAGTTTTTGCTACAATGGTCATAAACAAGAACGCCCAGATATACTCTAGTGTGAAGGGCATCAAGCTGAACCGCTGTTGTCATGTGACTGATCTGGGCATAGTGTGGATGATATCCTGTTACCCGGAGCTTGTGGAGGTATGTATATTATATATGGACTATTGCCAATTGCATTGAATGTCTGTTAAACAAGAAAACGGTATTTATCTGGTAATAAGCCGATGTCTTGTAATAACCCCAAAACTGAATAAAGTTCAAAAGTCACAATTTTACAGTATATTTCTGTGTGATATTTTCAGTGTATATGAAATTTTGAATGATGATATTGAAGTTCTTTTGTTTTATTCATTAAGGCATAAAGAGTAAGTTTTTCTATGTTATTCCCACTTTCCTTTCTTTTCTAAATCTTATATCGCTTTTCAATTAAATGGTTTTTAGCTATTTCTGAAACATTCTTTTATTGTTCGAGTACATTTCTCTTATGGTCTCCTATTTTTACTTATGATCATGTTGTTACATTCATTATCATGTAATTCCACGTATTATCATGTTAATTATTATGTAACTATCCGGGATTTATTTTTCGTCAGAAAAGCGCTGGAATGTGTAGCGTATTTTTTGACGCCAAGTTGAAATGACGTCACGCTTGACAACAATACAGAGCGCCATTTGTAATGGATTTTACTGCAATTTTTGTAAAAACAATAATGTATGCTGCATAAGTGAAACACACAACCACTTACTCTGTCGTCGCTTCAAACTGAAAATCTATGCGCTATGATATGTTTTTATCAAATGGAGAATCCATGATATTTCACAAGTAAACTGTAATAATTACAGATATCGTAGGATTTACTATCATGTTTTTGAAGACAGAATGCGGCCTTAATTTCCCAGAAGGCTTGCACGCATTAGGAAGCACCGGAAGCTGACAAAGTGTTTACAGATCAAACCTTATGCTGAACTACGAGTAGTTGTTATTGTGTGTATGTGTCTGAGTGTATGTAAATCCCATGTCAATGTGTTGTAAATGTTGACAAAAAAATATCTTGAAAAATTACAAAATTAAAAATAGAAATTTTCGTTTTCAACATAAGAAAAATGCACGTCTTTGGACGAATACTGATATCATTATGTGAATATATGACCTTTGAAAATTACTTTAACTAAAATAAAATTAG